CAAAGAACAGTGCAGGGGAGAACACTAACCTAGGTGCGGGGGGGGGGGGGGTATTTGGTGGGGGGGAGAGTCCAAACGGTAATCATGGGAGGGGGGCTGTGCGGGGGGGGGGGGGGGGGGGATGGCCTTGATCGCGATCGTGCTTGTGCAGGGAAGATGGGCGCAGTTGTGGTCATCCCCTGATGCGGAGTTCACAACCTGAGGCAAAATTTGGGACCAGGCTTGGGACCTGGATACATAAAGGAACGCCTTCTTCCCTATTTGCCCTCCCACCCCCTTAAGATCGGCAGCAGAAGCCCTCCTCCGGGAACCCTCCGGGAAAGATGTTAGGAGACAGAGCACCCAGAGGAGGCCTTCTCTGCAGTGGCGCCCCGTCTTTGGGATGCGCTTCCCAGAGAGGTCCACCTGGCGCCGTCATTATATGCTTTTCGGTGCCAAGTCAAGACTTTTTATTTAACCAATATTTTAAAGTTAATCAATTTTAATGGCATATTTATTTATTTAACTCATTTTAACTATGTTATTTTATACTGTCGTGCTATAGCCAATTTATTTATTTGTTTAGGATTGGTGGGTTTTAATGTTTGTAAACCACCCAGAGAGCCCTCTGCACTATTAGGGTAGTATATAAATGTAAATAATAAATAAATATCCCCCCCCCCGAATTTCTGTTTGTTACCCGAATTGCGTTCGTGAGCCAAGGTACCACTGCACTTGGCTCAGTCATCAAGTCAAAGGAAAACAGACTTGGAAGGGCAGCAATGAAGAAACTGGGAAAGATAATCAAGTGCAAGGGTGCTTTACTAGAGACCAAAGATCACTGTGTTTGAGTGTGAAAGCCGGATGGAGAGGAAAGCTAACAGAAAGTAAAATGCTGCTTGGAACATGGTGCTAAAAGAGAGTTTTGCAAATACCCTGGACTGACAAGTTAGGCTTAGATAGAATCAAAGCAGATCTTTTCCTGGGAGCAAAAATGACAAAACTAAAGCTGTCATACTTTGTGCACATGAGAAGGCAAGTCCCACTGGAGAAGACCTGCAGGTACGTGAGGGGGCGTCACACGGAGGTGGGTAGAGACCTGTTCTCCCCTGCAGAGGAAGGCAGGACATGCGCCAACGGAGCCAAGCTCAGGGAGCCAAGGTTCCCTTTGGATGCCAGGAAGCACTTCCTGACGGTCGGGACCCCGAGGGTGTGCAATGGGCTTCCCCGGGGGGGTGCTTGAGGCCCCATCGGTGCGGGTGTTCAAAAATAGGCTGGACGTGCACATGGCGGGCATGTCGTGAGCGGAGTCAGCTGGAGCCGGGGGTCAGACTAGATGGCCCAGGAGGACCCTTCTGACTCGCTCTGTTTCTATGTTACTAAGACAGTCCTGCTAGGGGAAAGTCAAAGGTGGAAGAAGAAAAGGAAGACCAGATATGAGAAGGATCAATCCCATAAAGGAAGCCACAGGCTCAGGTTTACAGGAGCTGAGCAAGGCTGGTGAAGGACAGTTTTTGGAGAGCTTTCATTCATGGGGTCACCAGAAGTCAGAGATCACTTGATGGCCCATAGCAGCAACAACAACAGCAACAACAACGGTTTCCTTCATTCTTGGCTCCATTTCTTTTAATCCAGATGCTTTCACTGAGGCTGCTAAGCTCATTGCCTTGTATTTCTGTGCAGAGATATGTATCTTTACAATACAGCACCTCCCTGTCTGCTCCTCCTGTTCTCCGTGAACAAGTCAGACCATTAAATTCCTGAAGTCCCATCATGAGAGACACCCCACCAAGTCTCCGTCACACCCATCCATCTGAACCTCGTTCGTGTTACAAGCCAGCTGTTTGGGTTATTGAGGTGTCCCTTACCCAGTGGCAGAAGTTCAATGACAAGTTTGGGGTACGCGATATCAGAGCATCCGGACGGGTTGCCACAGATCTCTTTGCAGAGATTGGGATCAGCACAGGCCACTAGATCTGGAACGAGGCAGCGGAAGGCGTGTGTGAATAGCGGCCACGTAGGCAGAGCGCTAAATGGGGGAAGGACAGTTGCTGCACACACGGGTAATCTCCTAAGCCCTCCAACGTGACCCCATATATATATGGGGAGAGGGAGGGGCTCTCCGTGTGGGGCCCTCCTCAACCAACCTGAGACTTTCCCTACCACATTTGCACGCTGCGATTCGAGAAATGTCGGTCTGGTTTATACCACAGGGGTCATTCCAAAGTATTGCTATGTTCGGGAACAGGAAAGACTAGCTATGTGATAGTAAAATATATGTTTTCATTTATGCATATTTACTTATTAAAATTTTGTATACTGTTCGCTCAGCCATGTTGGGTCTCTGAATGGTCTTCTCTCAGTGAAATCCCAAACATAATACAATATATTAAAACAGTGTAACGATCTGTAAACATTCCAATTGAACAATAAGTAAAACAAACGGTACACTTGGCAAAGTAATTAAACAAATGGATAAACATGAAATCCTGATCAACACAGATAAAAACAAGGACAGAAGCAAAAAGTAAAGTTAACACCTGACTACATATGTCAATAAGATGTTGCTTAAACATTAAAGGACTGAGCGAATAGAGAAGTTTTTGGCCGCCAACAGACGTATTTCTCTGGGGAGTGAACTCCAAAAACAAGGTGCCACTGCCAACGAGGCCCTTCCCAGTAGCTGCCCTCTTCCTAGCCTTTAAAGGCGGCTCCTGGAGAAGGCCCTCCATAGGTACAGATTTGAGTTGAATAAAGGAGTAAAAACATTAAAAGAAATTCTCGTAAATATCCCACACCTGAACACAAATCATTTCACACTGTTCTATGCCCCTAATCTGTTTTCTAGATAAATAAACAAGGCAGACTATTCTCTTTTTAAAAATCAGGACTAACTTGTTCACCTTTACAGATAGAGAGGGAATTTTATTACCATAACAATTGCTCCTGTACTCCAGTGTGCGTGTGTGCTTGTGCCACTTTAATCTTTTAGTGCAGGGAAAAGGCTCCCTGCCCCAGAACCCTCTTTGCCCACGGCCATCCGGAGCGGCATCTCCAGGCAGCAGGGCCCTGGCTGTCTCGCCTTACCTGGGAAGAGAATGCGGCTGATCATGCCAGGCAGAACCATCACAAAGAAGGGCAGGATTTTCAGGCAGGAAGCCAGCAGGGCGCCCCCTTTGGCATGGGACAGGTTCTTGGCTGCAAGAGACCTTTGAACAATGACCTGCAAAGCAAGGAGACGCTTGTCGTTTTTCGCGGAACTCTAAATGCACAGACTTGCAAGTCTAGGGCCTTCAAACAAAAAGCTGCACAAGTTACTTGATTTTCAGCACCAGGCTAAGACCTTTTTATTTAAACAATATTTTAACAGTGTTTAATATTAACTATAGGTTTTAATTTGCAGCCGGAATGAATTGGATTTTTAATCTGTATATTTCATATTTTATATTTTTTGTACCATGTTTGTTTATTTATGTAAGCCGTCCCGAGGCGTTAAGCAATGGGACGGCATACAAAAACGCTAAATAAATAAATAAATAAATAAATAAATAAATAAATGGCAGTATTTATCCATGGTTATAACTGTGTATCTACACCTTCCTGGAAGTCTCAGGGCAGAAATTTTTCTTCTGCAGAAATCCTAATGCTGCAAACAAGAGGTGCTCAAAGTTCTGGTCTGGTGCCATCAGTAGAATTCTAGCCTTGGGTTGCGTGGGCCCAAGTTGGGCCCACCTCCTCATAGGTACATGAGGGGGTGTCACACGGAGGTGGGCAGAGATCTGTTCTCCCCTGCAGAGGAAGGCAGGACACGCTCCAACGGAGCAAAGCTCAGGGAGCCAACGTTCAACTTGGATGCCAGGAAGCACTTCCTGACAGTCAGGACCCCGAGGGTGTGGAATGGGCTTCCACGGGAGGTCGTTGAGGCCCCATCGGTGCGGGTGTTCAAGGATAGGCTGGGCATGCACATGGTGGGCATGTCCTGAGTGGAGCCGGCTGGAGCCGGGGGTCAGACTAGATGGCCCAGGAGACCCCTTCTGACTCTCTCTGTTTCTTTCTTTCTAAGTTTAATCCCTGCATAGCGAGGACTAATTACAGCTGGTTCTTGGATTGTGGAAGTGTTCTGGATGAGGTCCATCCACACATCTTCTGCAACATTAGATTCCTCCAAGAAATCACATGGAAGGGTTATTTAATTTGTGGCTGTTGCATTTTTACTGCACGGGGCATTGCCTATGGAATTTTTGCCTTCGGTGCCAACATTTGGGCAGCTGGAGGTGTGCGTGTCATGTGCTGCTCTGCCTCAGGAACCGAAATGCTTCTGGCCAGCACGGCACGGCACCGGTGTCTGCTGCAAGGCGACTTTCTTTCTTTCTTTCTTTCTTTCTTTCTTTCTTTCTTTCTTTCTTTCTTTCTTTCTTTCTTTCTTTCCTTCCTTCCTTCCTTCCTTCCTTCCTCCCTCCCTCCCTCCCTCCCTCCCTCCTTCCTTCCTTCTTTCTTTCTTTCTTTCTTTCTTTCTTTCTTTCTTTCCGCATGATATGCATACCCCCACCTTTCTCTCAGGGTAGACCTCAGGGTTTCAAGGTGGCCTCCCCTCCAAGCTCAGGCCCGCTCCAGACCTGCTTAGCTGCAACTTGGCAGTGGCTTATGTGCCTTCAGACCGTACCAGAAAGAAAATGTGTCTGCAGAAAGGAGCAGGGACTTACCTGGTCCGTGCACCAGTACCACAGAGAGGGGATGGTCATTCCGACCAGCACTCCTGGCCAGGGAAGGTCAGATGTGACGGGGTCTCGGAAGATGTGGAAGGCGTCTTCTCTCGGCCTACCGCAGGTACTGTTTCCATCATGGCTGCTGGCAATCGCTTGGAAGTATCTGTTTTCAAGGTCTTCGAGGCCTCCCACTTTGGCAAAGCCTAGGAATCCCCACAATAGCGGGGCGCTGATTACTTGCTTTGCACGGGCTTGAAAAATCGCCAAGTTCAACCAAAGGGATTTGGCAAAAGGGACCTCACGATGCAGAAACCTGGATTTGCACAGATCGCCCTTCCCCACCCGAGGGCCCTGCACCGCCTCTCCAGCGTGCCGCGCTGGCACGGCCAGGAGCTGCTGGCTGCAGCCGGCCCAGAGTCGCAGCCCGATGCGTCTGGAGGACACCGAGTCGAGGAAGGCTGCCGCGAGTTCTCTAGCACACGTCTCCCCTCTGCGTTCCCTCGGGTGTTTCATGGAACTCCCTAGGAGCCCCCCGGCAAAGGCCAGTAGAAGCAACACTCGGCATTGCGGCCGCTCCTCGGCGAGCTCCAAGCCCTCCCCTCGCATCCCCCGGTCGCGGTGCAGTCATCAAGCGAGCCCGGCCCCCGGCCGCAGGGAAAGGGCTCTGCCAGAACACGGCGGCTGACCTGGGCCGGCCAGCACATGAAGGGCAGAGGTGCAGTTTACTCCGGGCCTTCGCAGGGGACACCCGTGGGCACCACGTAAGTCAGCGAGGGCAGGCAGCCATGAAGCGGCGGGGCTGCCGTTGCCTCCGGCGTGCGCTGCCATCGCAAAGCTCCAGAGCAGAGCCCCCCGCAACCTCCCGGGAGCTACTCACTGAAGCCCATCAAGGTCAGCGCACCGGCCAGCATGATGACCGTCTGCAAGGCGTCTGTGTAGATCACGGCCGCCAGACCCCCTGCAGGTGGAAGAGCACAGCAAGGCCGGGGCTTAGGGTCCGCCCCAGGCACGTTTCGCTCAAGGATTGCCCAGACACCGAGAACATCACCATGTCTGCTCGCTCGCTCGCTCGCTCGCTCGCGTGCTCGCACCGCCACACCACACTCCTGGATGGCTCACAGCACAGCAGAACAGGCGGTGGTTTGCTAGAACCAAAGGCGCATGCCAGGCTGGCTTCCTGCTGCCCCCCATGAACTGGATGCTTTGCACACACAGATTAAGGCCTGCTTCCGCCCTGCAACAGACCGGGGCTCCCAGCAGCCCCTTTTCAAAGCGGGGGCGTCTTGATTGTTGCCGCCATTACACAGCCAGCCCCTCAAGCTTTCGCCATTGCTCTGCAGTTCACCCAGTGCTCTTCCCGCCCTGACTTGAATTCATTATTTCATCTTATCTTACTTTATTGACTACCTTTTAATAAAATATTCTCTAGGTAATGTGCAAAATATTTAACTAAACTCTCTTTGAGGGTTTAACCTTTCACAGCTGACTTTGCTTCCCAGGGGGAGATAAAAAGAGAAAAATGCAGCACCAGTGACCAACTGTATCAGGAAGCATTTGAAGAATGCAAGGCAGAAGAAGAGGGAAGAGCAGTGGCTCTTGCTGGCAAAGGCCTGGTCCAAATAATCCTTTCTTCAGTGTGTTCTTAATATGGAAAGGACCGGGCAAAGATTTTCCGTGCCAGCCAGTTCACCATCCTTATTGGCTCCTTGTTGGTGCTGTCAGAGAATCACATGGTTGGAAGGGGCCTCTGAGGCCATCAAGTCCAACTGCCGGCTCAACTCCAGGCTAAAGCATCTCTGGCAGGGGGCTGTCCAGGTGCCTCTTGGGAGCCCCCACACCCCCCTAGGCCATTGGCTCCAGCGCCACACACCTCTAACAGCCAGGACATTTTCCCCGATGACCAGCCGGAGCCTGGCTTCCTGCTTATCACGCCACGCCCGCCGGGACCACTTCCTTCAGGGTGGCTCGTTCGTGGCTACAAGCCACCGGACAACCCCTGGCTTGTCTTAGGGGTGTGTTACACACATGTTGCATTGGCAGGTCAACTGAACCTGGGCAAGTGAACCCAGGCCCTGAATTCACACATCATCAGAGGCCAGAATTCAACAGCCCATGGGTTAAATTTACCATGGGTCTTGTAGCATTATGTACTAACCTAGCCATCATTTGATATTTTTACAGGCTGTGATTGTAATAGACAATCTATCATTATGTTTAAATGAGTTGCTTTCTAGCTGAAATATTTGTGCTATGGACAGTTGGCCCAAGCGTGCTTTGAAAAATAATAAAAATCAGACAGTTACTGCTATTTACCACCTCAAGCTGCAATTTTGACATGCATCTACTGACTTCATACACCTGCACATTAGTCCCAGGTTTTTGTTGGCTTGTTTGGTTGGTTAGTGGCCGGGACGGGATGGGCCGGGACGGGAAGGAAGGAAGAGCCCAGACCAGCCCGGGCTCAGTTGCCCTGTGCTCCGGGACAGGACAAATGAAGGCACCAATTCACATAGTCCCCACCAGAAGATAACTGCTAAAAGGCGCCTCTGCTCTTAGTAGAGTCACAAAACTTCCGTGCTGTGTTAGTGCATCAGTGAGGAAGGCAAGAGGCACCTGCCACAGTGTAGATCGCGGTGATGACCAGCAGCCCAGTGACCGCCACGTAGAGATCCCAGTGCAGAGCCTGCTGGATGAACAGGGCCCCGGCATACATGTCGACCTGCGGGAGAGAACATGCGGGCGCTCGTGAGAGCTGTGCGCGTGGGCATCCCTAGACTGCCTCCAGCTTGCCTCAGGCTTGGCGGCAGCAGGCGGGCAGAGAAGCAGCCAAGTCCCACGTTCCACAGACCAGTCCCTCCTCCCAAGCCATGCCCATTTCCTGTGGCTGGACTGGCAGCCAAGAGCTATTCTTATTACAAAGAGGAAACTGATGCGTGAAAGGAAGAGGTTTTGTAAGAACTTAATCCTGTGAGCTGAGTCAGCTGTGAGAAACAAGGTGCTCCATAAGGTGCTAGAGAGCAGGTGCACTCCAGGTGCCGCCAGCAGGCGGGTCGCTGAAGTTACTTGGGGTGACCCTCCCTTCCTCGGACACGCCTCCCGTGGCCAGATATGGGACGCCCACTCGGCATCGCCCAAAGGAGGGCTTCGCCTGCATGCGGTTGACGTGGGCCCGCTGGTTCCCAGTCGCTTGCAGGGGCTTGGGCAGGGCAGGGGCAGGGGAGAGGTGCTATTCAATCGGAGGCGCTATGACTCGGACACATTACAGGGCCACAGTGTTGCAAGAAGGACACCCACAGCGCAAACCACAGGCATTCCATCTGATGCAGAAAGTTGTTGCAACAACCACAACACCTGCAAAACCAGAACAAGGCAACGCAAAGAACAAGAACATGCCACACGTTGAAGGCGGCCCCAGTCTAACCTGGGGGGAAACTCCTTCACAGTCCTGTGCTTGGCAGCCGGGCAGACCTGAGGGACATTCGCAGAGCCCTGCGAGATCCGGGCAGACCGGAGGGCCATCTGGACTGGCCTTCCCTTCCGGCAGGGGCCAACCAGCTGCCTGTGGCAAACTGGCAAGCAGGGCCGGAACGCCGCCAGGTTCCCAGGCAGAGGGGAGGCATGGGCACTCAGGGCGGGAGCACTGGCTAGGTGGGGGGGGGCAGGAGGAGGAGGGCAAAGCTATGGCCAAGCACCCCCTTGTGCTCCCCGCCTTCCTCTGCAGCTGTGGGGAAAGCCCTGCATCGGCTCATGGAGCGATTCTTCCCCACAGCAGCTCTGAAGGTGTCCGCAGAGGTCCCCGGTGGCTGCCTACCCAGGCCCAGCGGCTGATTTGGATCCTTTTGTTCCAAAGAAATGGGCAACAGAACCAAAGTCATTGCAATGGAACTGTTTGACATTTATCTGCATCGGAAGCCCAAAGCAGACTCCCCCTGATGTCATTACCCGCAGCAGGGACAACACAGACACTGTGTACCATTGAGCTAAAACATCCAGTTATAGAAATGGTTGCAGACCAGAAAAAGCAGGAAAATTTATAACTGCAGCAACTTCAGAGAGTGAGTGCAGAGCCGTCCTGCAGCAGAACGCTGGGGACCGAGCCTTCCCAGAGCAAGCCTGTGGCCACCTCAGGCCCCATTCCCCTGATGGAAAGGCAGAGAAAAAGCCAGCTGGCCAGGGTTCACACTGTGAGCATCTTTGTGGCCAGCTGTAAAAATATACATTGGCATGCTGTTCTGTTGAGAAAGACACTCAATGGGAAATCGGGATCTAGCAGTTGTTAATAAACAGCTAGAGAGAAGGGGTTAGTCAGTAACTCATTAGAGTCCACTGACAAACAGAAAAGTGAATTACTGAACAGACAAGCAAGTCATCTTTGGTCCACACACAACCCAACACATTCCACTGGAGTTGGTATTTCTTCTGCATGAAAGTAGATTGACAAAAGGGAACAAGCCGACTAGATGAACCCAGAACTAGAAAATTCTGTGACAAAGATCTAAAGGCAGGATCTGTACTCTGGTCCGTCCACATCACCGCAGCCGAGTATCACCTTAGCTTCTGCTCTTTGATGTTGGGCACGTGAATGTCGGGGGGGGGGTCCCTCAAACTCTCCGGATAATGGGGCGGGGAGTTGAGTCACTCTATTTTATACCCAGGCAGCCACCAATTCAAAGAGCCTCTTTACAGGTGCAATTTTTAAAGCTCATCCAGAAAGCACATATTGGTGGAAAAATTATCCTGCTGAACTTTCTGGAACGGGCCCATGGCCACACCCTGGATCCCTCTAAAGTCCCGTCCATGGACTTTCTCTGGAAGAGCTGCACTGAGGGGCAATTCCGAGCAGGCTTTACCGGCGCACAAAGTGCATCCAGCGTCAAAGTAATCCATAAAGCCAGGCCAGGAGAGCACACGCTCCGGGAGCCTCTCTGGGAGTGGTGGGAACAGACGTGGCAGCAGCAACCGGCATGGAGCATTCGGTGCCATCGTTCCCTTTCATTTACTGGTCTGTCCCTCTATGGCTGTTGCAATATATGGGGAAAGAAAAGGCAGAAAGGTCACTAATTCAGCCTGTGTCAACCTGCTCTTTCCAAGCCAATTCTGCTCTGTCTCCTCTCACCTCCTTACTTACTGAGATTTTGGTGAATATATAGATAAACAAGTAGAGAATTGCCAGGAAGAGCTGTATCCTTTTGCCACCAAATCGCCTCTGTAAATACTCCGGCATGGTTGTAACCTGCAAGGAATGAGACCGTATTGGTGAGAAGGCCACGTATCAGTACATTTGTGAGAAGAAGCAAGCCGAAGCTGCTCTTGATGGAGGCAGCTGAAGCCCTGCAAGGTATTTTGGTCATGATAGGGGAGCTGCTTTGCAACTTCCACCCTCCAGCAATGCTCACTTGCGTGCAAATACATCTCCCCTACGGGCCTTGATTCAATTGCAGCACCTATGGAACAGGTAAGGAAATAACGAAGAACTGGGCACTCTGAGCATATGCAGAGGGCTTTGCCCTTCCTTGGGTGCTTTACTGTCAACCCAGCTAGCCGCTGCCACGTCTGCTCAGGGCTTGCAGGGAAAGGGAGGAGCGGCAGGAGGGACAACACCGTCCCTGCCTGGGGAACAGAAGCGCCTCCCCCCATCCCACCTGCTCCAAGGAGCTTGGTTTAGACAGCGTCCCAACGAGCCACAGCTTGTTTGATGAGGCACCCCTGGCTTAGCGCCTCACGCAGACTTGGGCAGCGCAATAAGCCACAGCCCAGCCAGGAGCGTCGAACAGGGCTCGCTCTGCTGGGCGAAGGGCCGTAGCCGGCGGCAGCCACCAAGGTGCCCAGACAGCGCTTGGCATAGCTGCCACCGCCTCCCCTCGGCAGGGCTGCCTGCCTGAGCCAGCAGGCCGACGGGACACCAGAACGGGCCGCCAGCTGTGGAGAGACCCCGCTTACGGCTGCTGCCCCTGCTCCCCTCAGGGCTTCCGTGATGCACCCCAGACCGCGGGGCGAGAGGGATGCGCTGTGCCCTTTACCAGTTGGGCGCAGCTGGGCCCCCCAGGCAACGTTGTGCCCAGGGTGGTCACACGGCCTCGCCCGGCTCCTCCTGCCCAAGAGGCCAGGACAGCAGCCCGGCACCCTCTCCTGCCCTCCCCGTGAGCCCAGCCCACGACCTGCGCTCCTCTTCTTGGGTCAGTCAAACTCGGCCACGGCCCCTCCCAGCTCTGCCTGTCTATGGTTCCAGGATGCTTTCCCTCAGAACCCTTTGGGATCCCACTTCAGCAAGGGAATGTAGGATAAATGCAGCTTTCCCAGCAATGTGCTCAGGTGCCCGAGTTCGCTCCTCCTACGGACACATGCACGCAGCCCAGAGAAGGGGGGGCGGGGGGAGGGAATCCAGGGCTTCCACGCAAAGATGCTTATTCGGGAGCGGTGCATCCCTATCTCGAAAAGTTCGTGTGGACACACTCAGGCTGTGCTCTGCAGACTCACCCCGGCCGAAATGTAGATAGGAAGGAACAGCCACGCCAGCACCAAGACACAGAACATGCCCTGAGGAGGGAACAGAGACCCGGGTCAGGAACGGGGAGGACCTGGCGCCAGAGGCCTGCTGGCCAGCAGGGGGGCCGCTGGGGCCGGGCAGTGGGGTGGGGGGGGGGTCCAGGGCTGTGTGCTGCCCTTGTGGCTGGGTGTGCCTGCCTGCCTGCCGCGGGCGGCCCCTTTGGCTCGCTGGTCGTTTCTTAGGGAGAGGCTGCACCTTGGATTTTTAAAAATTGCCAATTAAACCAGAACACAACAAACTCTGACATGCCAAGTCAGAGTGGAAAGCAAAGCCGGGCAGGACAAACGGCCTTGTACCACCAGCCGACGCAAGGCAGGTCCAGAATCTCTGCAAAGAGGGGCCCTCGCACACGCAGTCCAAATAATGCCGGTGCTGCAGCGCTCCAGTGCAGCCGCTCTAGGAATACGGCAGAATAACAATGGCTTCCACAGGAAGTCGAGTCCCAGCTGCCGAGGGAACTGAAACGACTGCACGGATCATGTTGGCTGGGCCGCCAGACCCAGCACAGTTGGGACATCCTGGAGCCGTGTCCACGAGGAGGGGTCTCCCCTGGGGCTAAGCGTGCCCCCGGTGGGAATGCCCCCGCTCAGCACATTCTGCAGGGAAGCAGCTGGCAGTTGCCACACGCGCGGCTTCCCCTTTCCGCACGCCAGCAGTTTCCTCGAGATCCACAGGGCACAGGGCCCAGCCAGGTGTGCTGCCCCTCTGTGGGTGGAAAGCCCGCAGCCCTGTAAAACAACTTTAAGGGGCAATTTAAATGGGACTGGGACTCAGACCGTCCGGGTTCGAGTCCCCGCTTAGCCATGGAGCCAGCTGGGTGACTTTGGGCCAGTCACAGACGCTCAGCCCAACCCGCCTCACAGGGTTGTTGTTGTGGGGATGAGATGGAGGAAGAGATGTAAGCTGCCTTGAGCTCTTTGTAGGAAAAAGGCAGGATTTAAATCGAAAATAAAAATGTCGTTTCTGTGTGGCCTGGCACTGGAACCTGCTACGAAGTTCTCTGCCAGTGCCTAGACCTGATGCACAGTTTCAGCCCTGGATTGTCAAAGCGGACTCTGCACAGCAAGACTTCATGGCAACTCGCTCTCTCTGGGCCTGTGGGGAGGGTGCCTGCCATGCCTCTCTCTTCCCTGTGTTTTAGTTATAGGCTTGGAGCCGGAATGCCGGCCAGCCGACACGTCAGCCGCTCATTCCCGGAGGCCAGTGGGGCGGAGGCCTGCTCTGAGAGGGGCACGCAGATGGGCTCGGGGAGGCGCTTCTCTGCGGGGGGTCCTTCTCAAAGACCCTCCCAGGGAGCTGGTCTGGCGGAAGGCATCCTCGGCCCTCCAGTGCCAAGGAAAGCTTTTCCAGGCCTTGAAGAAATCCCAAGCACCTGCTCTTTCCGAGCATTCTGATGGTGTCGGTTGCATGCACACAAGCACACGCGCGCACACAAACACACACACACACACACACACACACACACACACACACACACACACACGGTCCAGTGCATGGACTGCAGTTCAGTGGCAGAGCCCCAGCTTTGCACGTGGAAGGCGCCAGGGTAACCCATGCAATTGCCAGGGTCTAGGGCCAGGGCCGGGGCAGACTGTGGCACACGGGCACTGCACACCTCCCCGACCCCACCAGGCCCCCTGCCAGTAGCGGCGCATCTTCGGTCTGGAAGCCCATGAAGCCGGCGGCTGCACAGAGACCCTCCACTTGGCCCCACTGAGGGCGCAGACCTGGCACAGCCGCCACCGCCGAACCAGCCCGGCCTGCGCATCGGCACGAGCAGGTTGCCCCGTGGAGGCCGCCCGTACTCACGTTCCACTCATAGGCCGTGGCAGCGATCCCCGAGGCTGCTCCGGAGCCGGCCAGGCCGATGAAGTGCCCGCTGCCGACATTGCTGGCGAACAGGGATGCCCCCACCTGGGGGGAGAAGCCGGGAGTCAGCCCAGCCGCGGCCTGGGCGGCACTGCGGCACCGGGGCCCTGCAGGGCTGCTGGGGCTCCTCGGGACCATCCCAGGCCCTTGGGTGGGAAGGACCCTGGTGGGGCCTGCCTGCCCCACCACTTCAGGGCCGCGACAGGAAAAGCTGCCCGCTTGCCCCTCTCCCGTGCATGCAGAAGCTCGCACCGAATTTGCGGGGCCGCACCAAATGTGGTGCCGGCTTCGTCTCCCTTTTCCACCCACCCCAAGGAGCCCCACCGAGCGGCAGGCGGCCGGTGTGTTTCAGGCAGGAGCGCTGCGGGACGGAGGCGTTCCGCCCCCAGCTGCGCCTGCAACAGGAGCCCTGCAGGGCGGCGACAGGCGGGAACTTACTGGCCACCAGACCATCTCGCCACCAGCCAGGAAGTAGCCCTTCACAGTGCTTCGCTTCGTTTTCCACATGGACTGCAAGAAATGGCAAGAGCAACCGATCTGAGAGCACGGACGACGCAGCGAAATGGTCCCCCGAGCCCCCGGGCAGGAGCGACTCTCCCACGGTGCGGGGCTCGCTGCTGGCGGCGCTTGCCGCTTTTGGATCACTGGCAGCTGCAGGCAGAGGGGACGCCCCGCACTTGGGCAGCGAGGGGTCTCTGAGCCACGCCAAGGGCCAACGACTTTGCAGTACTCTCGCTCCCAGACGGAGCTTTTCCTGCTCTCCTTTTCTCGCCCATCAACCAGGCGCCTAACAAAAGCAGACGCTTCTGACCCCCAGACAAGCGCACGGCCAGGGCCAGAGGAAGAAAAGGCCCAGCTCTGGACGCTCAGGAGGGGGATGAATGAGGGAAGGAGGGCAAGGTGGGGAGAACAGGGGTGCGGGCCTGAGGCAGGTGGCATCTGGGCGGGCTATGGACTTGATGGAGCAGAGGAAGGGGGGGCCTTTGGGGTGAGCGGGCAGCTAGGGAGCCTGGGGGCCCAGTGGGCATGTCCAGGGCCTGCGCCATTCGCTGGCAGAGGGAAGCACACAGCCCAGGCCCTCCCAACGGCAAGAGCACAGCCACCCTGAGGCAGCGGCTCCCCTGCTTGCTTGCCCAGCATTCCTGGCTCCTGTGTCCCTCCAACGACGGCCAAGAAGCCACTGCAGTCGTGCAGGACTCCATCCCAGAATTCCCAGTATGTTTAACAAGCATTGATCTTGGTGGACTGTGCACATGGGAAGGGAATTCTACAAGCCAAGACTCAGCCCTGCAACCTATATACCTATAGGAGATTTGCATGGAGATAAAAAAAGTTCAAAGTCCTCATGGATTTCTTCCAAGGTGGCTATTTCGCTGCCAGAATAGAATCACTCCATCCTGCACTTTCACCCAAACCCAGCAGAACTTCAGCTGGATGGACGTGCCCATTCACAGCTAGAAAAAGGCTCAGCAGCTGTTCTGCAATATGCTATTAGGTCCTGGAATGACATTTCCTCTTTATAGCTAAGAGCACTTCAACCCCTGGGCACACCTGAGAGCTGGTGGGACACGGGTACTAGTTGCAATTCATCCATGGCATTCGCTGGGTGACTTCAAACTAGCCACAGACTCTCAGCCTAGCCTACCTCACAGGGTTGGTGTTCTAAGGACAAAATGGAGAGGAGGAGACCCTTGCAACTGCCTCGGGAGAAGTGGAGCACAAAGGTAATGATCGTGATAATGAGAATGATAAATATCGGACATCTCCCAGCAAGGAAAAAGCTCTGATTAAGGGGCAGGGGATTCTACATTCCAGGGTAGCTTGCTTCTTCCTTTCTGTTTGTTTACTTTACCAATTAGGCACTGAAAAGGGACATGTTTGCTACAAACTAAAAAAGCTACAGGAGAATGTCCATGTTTGCTGCCCCTCTGGAAGGCAGCACCTTTAAATTTCAGCAGCAAGAACAGGCCTTCCTTTCTGCTTGGATTTCTGCCATACAAGAACCCATTCTTACCCACAGCCCAACAGCCAGAACAAAAGCGAAGTACAGAACCAAGACAACAATGTCCACAGTCTCCAGGCTCCGCTGTGGGAAGGCGTCCCAGCGGCTGGTGGTGGCAGATGACGGGGTGGTGCGGCTTGGCTCCATTGCCTCTCGGACCGGCTGGGCACGTTGCCTTTCTGGCACATTTAGCTGGTGCAAAAGAGAGAGAGAGCTCTGCAGCACGTGTTCAGGGATCAGCCGTGTCCCCCAGGAAAGCTTCCCGCATTCCATCACAGGCCCCTTGCCAGCGGGGCCGAGCCTTCCTGTTCGAATGTTCTGGGTGCTCCAAGGAAAATTTGCTCTGCTCTGGCCAGCATATGGCCTGAATGGGCGAATGCAGAAGCAGAGGCCAGAAAGTGTATCTGCCTTTGGCCCGGGCAGTTTTCTAACTCAGTGTGGGAAAAGCCACCGCAGCATCCCAGGGGAAATGGCATCTTCACCCAAGGCCACTTCCCTTGGTGTCAGCTAAGGTTCTGCCATTTGATAGTCAGGTCAAAGCTAGCGAGCAAGAAGCAGGTCTTCATCGCTGAGTTTGCAAGGAAGTCACGGAGACGATCTTGTGGCATCCCAGTCTCCAAGCCCCAGCAAGGAAGCGCAGCCTTCAAGAACTGCTCTCATAGGGCCCCAGTTGGCAAGGCCATCACAGGGTGGCTTCTCAGAGGTCCTGTCCACGCTTTGGAGGGCCAGTGCCAGTTGGAATAGACCTGGCTGGGTTGAAGGCCCAGCGGCCCGCTTTTGACATCGCCTCGTCCCAACACCAGGTTGGCAGAGGGGGCCTCCCACTGTCCCCTTCACACAACGGGGAAGAGACACATCAACCACCAGCACCATTTCGGAATGGCCTTCCAAGGCACCTTCTCCAAGGCTTTTCTGGGAAAAGGGAATTCTGGAGGGGACCACTGAACATTCAGCACAGAAAGGCCCACGGGAACAAACCAGTCCAGGCAATGAGAACCATTCTGTTAGAGGACACTTACTGGTAACCCCCACCCCACCCCACCCCACCCCCCCCTCCTACCGCTTATTCCATTTTTCTCTTACTGCAGAAAATCCATAAATGAAACGATGGAACGGCAGCACAAGGCTGCAGTTCATTCAGCTGGGATCCCACCACCTGGAAGAACCCCTGGGTAGCAGAGAGAAACAGGTGGGGGGATGATTTTAACCACCCTAACAGCACCCCTTGGGTGCTCTGATCCCCCACTCCCCATGCCATCGGCTGTGTCACTACGTTAAGCGAGGCAGAGGGAACGGAGAGCCCACCCCACTGTCTCTGGCCTCCTCCCACCGGCATGAGAGAGGACGCTTACTGTTCTACATTTGCCTCCGGGTCAAGCCAGCGGGACCCCGGCAGGAAAAGCGACAGGGTCGGCCCTCGCCCTCAGGAGCGGGTGCCGTGCCCAGGTGTGGGAAGAGCGTCCTGGGAGAGCTGCTGCTGCTGCTGCTGCTGCGGACTGCGCTGCTGTGCGTGGCCGTCCTGAGAGCAGGCAAACAAGTTTGTTTCCTGGCTCACAGCAGGAGGCGGGAGCAAAGCACCACCTTGCCTGTGGGCGTCCCTTGCAGGACTGGGCAGGCCCGCCTGGAGCAGGAAGTTTCTCTGCTCCTGCAACCTGCCAGGTGCGTGCCGGCTCTCCCAGCCCCCCAAAAGGCGCCTCGGACCCAGCTGGCCTGCGGCGTGCCTCTGAGCCAGCCCAGAACTGCCTGCCGCGTCGCCCTGGAAAATGGGTACTGGATGCGTGCCTGATGGGTCCCTGAGGGAGAGCTGGCCCTGCCTGAGCGATCAGGAGCAGCCCTCCAGCCTGCCCCACAGGGACACAGATTCCGTACCTGTTCTGCCCCCCCCCCCCCCGCCCCACAAAATGTTTCTGGTGGATTAACCTCATCAGCCTGGGAAGGCCGCTTGCCTGCTGAAGCACATTACCTGTGCACTGCTTTTCCGATGAATTTATCTCTTGTCTCCACCGCCATCAAGCAAAGCAAAATAGCTAACAGGCCCCTGTCCCCAAAGAGCTTGCAGCTTGTGATGGGGTCTGCATGACAGGGCCACCCACAGTGGGTGACATGCCACTGGCAATGTGCTGCGTCACGCAAGCCCAGCCTGGTCCCACAGGGTGGCTTTTCTGGGGGCAACAAGCTGCCTTGACAGCCCGTGGCTCACCTTAAGGGCTGTTTCACCCATGGTGGCTTGGTGCGTTGTCCGGCCCACCCACCCCCACATTGCGATCCCCACATTGATGGCCAAGGAAGGTAGCTTCACAGAGGCCAAGTGGTGCATGAAAAGGTTGTCAGCACTTGGAGAACGACTGGGGGGTTACATGCACAATAATGCACAAATGCTTTTGCTGTATTTAAGATCTCATCGGTGCTGATAATGTTCCTTGAGCATGAAAATGGGGGCCCTCGGCTGGACACTGCCCTGGGGGTCAGAGAGGCTCCCAGGAGGACTCAGTGGTTGCTGTCTGTCTCTCTTGGCAGCGGTCAAAAAGGCGGACTCAAGGGAAAGCGAAGCTGTGCTGGGCGTCTGCTGAAGAAAAGGGGCTGGCAAGGCAAAAGGCGCAGCGGGCAGAAGAGGGGTCTTCTCCATGGCGCGCCCGATCTCTGCAATTGGCTCCCCAGAGAAGCTTGCCTGGCACCTTCCCTGCAATAATTTGGGTGGCAGTTTTATTCTTCAGGCATTTTAATAGTCACTGAATAGCACTGAATTTGACTGATTTCATCCATTTCTAATGATGACTTATCCACTAGCCTGGCTGAGGATAAATTTTGCTAAACTACGTGTAGCGGTCCTAGGATGTTTTTCGTGGATTTTAAAACACAATGTAATTGCTACTTATTGTGCCACAGAGGCAATATCGCTGGGTGCAGCCGATGCAGACAGCCCTGTCCGGGCCCGCCGGGGGCATTCCTGCAAGCCTCCCGCTTTGCGCCCTGACCGTCCCCGGGGCCCGACCCCGCGCCAGCCCCGCGCCGCCCTCCCCGCGCCGGCTCGGCCGCGAGCTTCGGCTCAGCAGCGCGGCGGGAGCGCGCCGGCGGGAGCGCGGTTTCCCTGCTTCTGCCTCAGGCGGGGCCCTTCCCGGCGCGGAGGAAGCGTGCGCGCAAAGCTGCCCCGGCTGGCGCAGGGGCGTCCGCCCTGCGGCCTCTCGCCTGCTCGGGGGAGGTCCGCTGGGGCCGCCCGGCGAAGGGCGCCCCTCCGCGCAGCCCGCTCGGCGACGGGGCTGCCCTGCGCTGCCCTTGGCCGGGGCGGGACTGGCAGCGGCGCGGGCGGCGCGGCGCCCGAGGGCAGCCCCCGGGCCAAGGGGACGGCCCGCCAGCCCGCCCGGCCCTCGGGATCCCGGCGGCTGCCCCGCCTGGCGCGACGTTCGCGGGTTCCGGGCACGGCGCGGAGCCTCTTCGCTCCGGGCACGAGCTGCTAGCAGCCCTTGGC